GATCTCATTCTCGGTCCAAGGACTATCATGGCACCCCAGAAGGGGCCCTAGAAACCTCTTGTCTTCCTGCAAGGGGTCACCGTGAGCTTCCAAATTTGTACGCGGGCTCTTTTTTTGGGTGTTGGTGCAAGAAACTGCGCCCTCCACTTGAATCCAGTTCCGCTAATACGTCAAAAATCCTCACACCCTTCGTGGTATCAAATTTTCCCAATATTTCATAACATACCGCCATGGGGAAAATTGTTTTCTGGGGGATGGGGGCTGCAGGTTTAGGCTGCTGGGATTACTCCACCTCAGGCTGGGAGCAAGCTCATTGGGCACTACCCGAAGAAGGCCCCGCTGGAAGAACTGAACCTGCGCCAGGCACTAATGATCAATATAATATACACAGGGCGTGTGCGTGGGAAAATGTTGCCGCAGGCATTGCCCGGATATACGCCCAAATATCGGTTTGCACGTAAAGGCATTAAAGCGTGCGCCCGTGCCCAGAAGCGGTTTTTGTGGTGGCTACTCATCTGCTACATCTTTCAACAGTGGTCCTACCATGCCTCTCCAGGCTCTTGAGATACGCTGCTAACAGGACTAAGTTGGGTTGTTCTCATAATTCTGGACCCCAATTTGGGTATAAATTAAGGGGTACCCAAATTGCCGAATCTTGGGAGCTCCCCAGTTTCAGAAGTGAAGCCCTGCTCCAATTATGATCCAGCGAGGATGCAATACCCTCGCTTGTCACTTGCAGCAGTTGAGACAGGGGCCTCAAGCACTTCAACTGATAGTCCCCCATAAGTAGATAGAATATGGGGTATATGGGGTTCGTATTCAAATATATACAAAGCCATATATAAGCTTAGGGTCATAGGTTCTTGGAATTGATCTTGCCATTATGTTCCCATTCCTAGCTGCTGAGTCTCCTGGTCCGAAAGAGTAACCTTTACCCTCGGAGAAATAGGATGAAAGATACCCCGAACCGTTAAAGGCTATCAACCCAGCCACTACTCGTTGTACCACTTCCCAAGCTCCTGGAAAAGACTGTGTCAACCGTGTCTCAGGGATCATCCTACATGATACGGCGCCCCGACGCAATGGGGGAAATATTCATGATTACGGGTGGGCTGTTCATCAGAAAGAGGGGGATTAACAACTAGGTAGGCATATAACGAACAAAGTGCTACCTGGAGACTATGTGATACTACCTCGCTATCACTGGAGAATTTCCTACTTAGATTAATGCACAAGTCGTTTCCTGGCACTACATACTCTACGTGCGGAGACAAAATAACCATACGATTCTGCGCTTCCGAGTTTTAGGTTTGATTCTGGACAGGGAGTTTGGTGTGGCCCTCAGTAATTTCCACAACTAAGTGGAGCCGATATAGGCTCCTATCCAAAATACTAGAGTCCAACCCTAAAAGCAAGCTCCTAATTTCGGAAAGCCCTAAACCCTAAACCCTTCCCAAAAACAAGCACCTAATTTCGGGAACCCCTCCACTACCATCCCAGCTTGCGTGCCTGCTTGGCTACGCCACTGATGAGGATTCGATCCAAGAGCAGGTGAACGAAGCGTTCCTCTCATCACCAGATGAACTTGTTGCCCTCGGGCTTAGAGTTGGCCTACATTCCTGTTCCATCCTGTCCCAAAAAGGGAGAAACTTATGTAGGGACCCGTATTGTATTATGAATTTAGGGAAACTTTTTGTGCTTTGCTTTTGGCTCTTAGAATAGGGGTGAATGGTTAGGTTGCACGCCAGAATCCAGAACTATTGCTTCGGGGACTCCCGCTAATGATGCTGCCATTCTCGCAACACTTTCCATCTTATCCGAACCACCTTATGCGATTCTTCCTTTTGAGCCCAGCTCCCCAGCCATGCATGTTCTTTCGCCAGAATCCTATGTAGGCGTTCTCCCAAAAAGCAAACTGCCAGGGCGGATTCCAAGTAACCTTGGCGATGATGAGCCCTTGCAAGCAAGAACCAAGGACCTGAATTTCCAGCAGTACGCCCTGGAGCTCAGGTTCAACCATAAGCTCTCAACTTAAAACCCTTTATCAACCCATCGCAAGAAGGAAGTCCTAGTCCTGGCCACCTAACATGAATGTTTTTCTCAAGTTGAGGCCAAAGGATAGCTAAACCCCAAACCCCAGCTCCAAAATACTAGCTTCCATTTAATTTTCCGTTATCCGTATATACCCCCATATATCCCCTATAATGGTACCCCTAAACAAGCTTAATGGAATGACAACGGGATGGCGCCCCTAAACCCTAAAATCCTAAACCCTTTTCCAAGCATGTCGGAGTCCTTGTTGTCTTCAGTGACTGTAATGGACTCGCCGTCCTGTCTTGCAGTTGCTTGGAGATTTCAGAGGAAAGGTCTAGATTTTAGGGAAAAGGGATTAGGGTTTAGGGAAAGCCTATGGCGAAGGGGCATGGTTTAAGGATTTAGACTCGCGAGCCTTTGGCTTGGGGTTGTAGACTTTTGGCGATATTTCCCAGGGTTTCATGGGCTATGGGTTTATGGCGTCATTATTTAGGACTCTTAGGGCTCTGGATTTGGGCTGTAGGGTTGAGGTCTTTGGGTTAAGCTTTTATGGCTTGCTCCGCAAGATAAGGGGTATTCCTTGTCCCTAAAAATAATGGGATCTTGGCAGTAGCTGGAAGGACAACTCACAAAGGATTCGGAATTTCTGGATGCGCCCATGGTGGACCAATGGTGCCTCGTTGAACTCCATCCGTGAACCCTTAGCTGAAGCCACGGGTACATAGCTACTTTCATCCTTCAAACACACCTGCTTCCTATTTCAACTAAAGGCAACTACGAAAAAGGGGTCTTCATCCTAAAGGACCCCAATACAGAGAATGTCAAGAATGAAGTAGGAACGGAATAGGAGTATGAGGATCCTAGTAGGTACATTCCTAGGCAGTCATGGAAAGGGTCCTGATCTTACAGATCCCTGGCTTACCTACTGGTGATGCTTCTGCTCCCCAAAGTCCGAACCCTTCCTGCTGTTCTAGTCATGTAAGGATTACTACAATTGTGTAAGGATGACTATACAATGATTACAGAAATACAAAGGAAACATTGGATGTTCTGGTTTCCAATGTACATGCAACCAGTTCCCGCTCTTTGTACAGCAGGCTTCTATCTGGATGCCTGGTCCAGGAGGCTAGACTCTATGGTTTAGGGTAGCTTAATCAATTTGACATTCTCGTCCCCTCAACCCTAAAGCCTGATCCTCCAGCTCAAGTACATCTAGTCCCCCTTGAGTGGATAGAATATGGGGTATATGGGGATCTTATTATGATTTACCCAAAGCCATATCGAATCTACTTAAGGGGACTATAACCCCTAAAGTTCCCCCGCAGACCCCGGGTTCTTCACTCCGACACGGCTTAGGGTTCAGGGTTCAGGTTCAGGGTTCAAGATTTAAGATTTAGGGTCTTAGAGGTTTAGTACCAGCTCTGACTGCTGCCTCATCCACGTAGTGCTCCTGTAGGCCTACATGATCCCTTCAGGGGAAGGGGGGGAGTGAGCATAGCATGACAAGGCGGGGTGTATTTGGGCGGTTTCTGAAAATTAGGGGTACCTGTCTTGGTTTCCCTATAAAAAGGATAAAACTACTTTGGGATTTATAATGGGGCCCCTTGTTTATGGAAACTCCGATATAGGGATTATCTACAAACAGCTAAAAGGGCCAACTACCCCACTTCCCCTTCGGCACCAGAAAGGTCTCTTCGAAAACCTTGTGCGGTTCGGCCATCAGCCCCTGTACAATTCCTCACCACCCAAATCGAAACGACTCCCTATGCACTCCCCTTTTTGACCCCTGTGAAGGTAGCGCCAGATCCTCAACTCAAAGCCCCATTCTTTTGGAGGAGGGTTTAGGGGCTTACGTAGACCTTTTTGCCTGAACCCGAAACCTGCGGAGCCTCTATGAGCGGAGTTCTCTGCACAAGCTCTTGACAGTGGGACTCCGAGACAACGAAATTCTTTGGGAGGTGCGACTGTTCCAGGACGTCCTGCTTTGGAGCTTTGGGTTCTTACGCAGGTTATGTAAACGTCTGGGAATGACTCATTCATGGGCGACTGAATTTTGAAGTGAGATTATGTGTTTTTGGCTTTTGGTTTCTAGGTTGGAAGGCGTGGCAATTTAGAGCATGCAGGCCCCAGTCCCCAGTTCTTTTTCCATATTCATTTTCCAGTTGATTCATACGGGATACTATGCCTATATACTCCCTAGAGAACCCATATTTCCGCACGTCACTTCCTATGTAACCCTACATATCCCCGGTAGCTAATTTAAACTTTAGGAGTTTGCGAGTCTGAAGGTTGTGAGGCTTGGGATAAATTAATTACACCCTTCCCGAGCCCCTCTAGACCCTACACTCCAGGAAACTAACCTGGAAACCCAAAAAGAGCCCTATAAAGACTACAGTCCTTCTAAAAGAGGACTATATGGGTTTCCATGTTAGTTTGGGGGAGTGTAGGCCCCTTTGAAACGAATAGAAACTTGTATATGCGCATAGAAAACCACTTTTCAGGTTCCATGCTAGTTTGGGGGGAGGGTAAGGCAATAGCGCCAAAGCATTTGGGAAGGTGTAGGTCAAAAAAAATCTTAACTGCCTTAGAGTTTTAGGGTGTGGGTTTAGTGTAGGGTTTCAAAAGAAGCCCTTTAGTGCCTTAGGCGCTGTATCCAACTCTGCAAGATCTGGCGCTTTGAATTGAGAATCACCGAGGGTTGCCCGGTATCACAGGTTTCTTAGAAGGTGAGACATACGAACTCTACGGTTTTTGGAACTTCGGGATTGTGTAACCCTGAGAACTTCTAGCTCTCTACATTTTCCAAACTCTATTGGAGCCAGGGTTAGCGGCGGGTCAACCATCTCCACTAGAGCCTTCAACTCCAAGGTGTTTCAATGCGCCCTGTTGAGGTTTTGCCCATGCTTAGCGGGGAATGTGGGAGTGCCTACGGATAACCCCTCAAAGGGTTTTTGCCATGGTCCCTTTTACCCATTCCGCGATGCCCAATTAAACACAAAGGAATGAGGCGTTGCACAGTCCTCCAGTGTGTCGCCCAAGTCCTTGTAAGATCCGCTGAGGATGTAGGTCAACTTCGTATGCAAAGTCTTGTCCACCTGCCCCATGACTTGGAGCCATAGGAAGCTTTCAAATCCCTACATTGGGCAAGCCAGGGCTTTACATCCTATCCACTTCGTGAGATTCTGAACTGAAGCAACACCCTCATCGGCTGGCTTAGCGGCTTCCATGGGTTCCGAGACATCTGAAGTGCCTGGTGAATGATTTGAATGCCTCGAGCATGCTGAACGGGCTTGTTGGTTTGGGCTGTCACAGTATGCCAGGTAGCGATTTCCTGTCTCATTCGAGATCCAAAGTAGCGTCTTCATGCGCACGTGGTCAATTCGTGAGCGTTCCCTCTGCCAGCTCCGCCGCCATTTTTGGTACCGGACTTTCTAAGGGACAAACAAGCAGCCCAAGTAAATAAAACCAAACGCTGCAATCAAGACAGCGCGGAAGTAGGAACATACCATGTTGGCAAGCTTAGTAGGTCACGGTCACGGCTGCCTAGATAAGCACGTTTATCCCCTCCAAAATTTCCAAACTACTTGTGCATCCCGAAGCCCCTGAACAGCTTGCAAGAAACAGTATCCACCTGCTCAAGGAGCGGTAGAAGGTCTGCAGTATCCTGAGCGCTCTGCAATCTAAGGTCGTGGGATCCAAGCACGTGAGCACTTCTGGGTAATATGGCCTTGGGCTCTAGGGATCTGTTGGCTTTAGCTCTATCCAAAGATTTGAGAATCTCTCATTGAAGCAGTTGCGCCACCCGAACGAACTCCGGACGAAAAGGAAGCCTTGGAAAAAGCAGCGGCGGTCTGTAAAAGCAACGCAACAACTGCTAACCATCAGCACCACAACCCCAAACGCTAAGGCAGCACAAGCAGCATATTTGGAGACGGCTCAGAACATCTTGCCAGGTGCTGCCACAATCTAAGTCAGCCACTATAAAACACACCTGTAACTATAACTGTTATGCAATCCTACATGAGCTAAACTCCCAGTATCCCCCTTAATATCCCCTATAGTAGTCCCCTATAGAATTCCTTATATAACCCCCTTTAAGGAATTTAGACTATGTGGCCATATAACCCCCTTTAAGGAATTTAGACTATGTGGCCATATAACCCCCGTTAAGGAATTTAGACTATGTAGCTATATAATCCCCCTTTAAGGAATTTAGACTATGTAGCTATATAATCCCCCTTTAAGGAATTTAGACTACGTAGCTATATAATCCCCCTTTAAGGAATTTAGACTATGTAGCTATATAACCCCCTTTAAGGAATTTAGACTATGTAGCTATATAACCCCCTTTAAGGAATTTAGACCATGTAGCTATATAATCCCCCTTTAAGGAATTTAGACTATGTAGCTATATATATCGCCCAGCGGCTGTTTTCAGCCCAAAGACTGAGCGGAGGAAGTTGTGCCCAAAGTGTACCGGGATCGTCTCCTGCACAAATGGCTCAGAGGTTAGGGTTTAGGGTTCAGGGCTTAGGTTCAGGATTTCAGGTCCAATTTTTCTACCCCAAGTACTCTAATCCTTTACATGGGGACCCCATATATCGGGTCCCTCGTTCTTGGAATTCCAACATAGAATCTACTACTCGGCCATTATTGGGGCAAGGGACCTCCAAAATTTTGGCTTCTGTTTGCTATGGGATTTTAATGATAAAGCCAACAATAACCCAGCTAAGATACTTTCTTACTCTCCCTAGTGCTGTACTGAACAATGGGGGGAATTGATCACACAGGTGGTCATTGGCGACCCACAAAGTAAGCTTTGTGTTTCTTGAACAACCCATATCGCTACACACCCACATTACCAGGAAACCATGCGCCCGTACCACATTTGGGGACGACAGCTTAAGTTCACTGGTTTTCTCTTCCAAGCCAAAATGGCTAAAATCTACAGGAAGCAGACGCTGCACCTCTGCCCCGAGGGTGTCAACTACTTCCGGCAAACTTACTGTCCGGTCCTTGTGGAGAATCGCGAAGCCGATGACGCAGCCGAAGAGCTCGAACTGTTCTGTCCAATCTTCCTGAATTTTTTTTGGGATTGAAAGTTCAGAGTCTAAGGTTTACTGTCAAAGTTCTTCCTGAGGTCTGTTTGGGATTGAAAGTTCAGAGTGTAAGGTTTTAATGTCAGAAATCCTGGGAACTTTGCGTTCTGCCGTACGGCTTGCTGGGTCGCTATGAAGGAAGTCAGCTTAAGTTACATTATCATGGGTCTGTAGTAAATCTTGGGGTTTCCGAATTATAGTAACTTCAAAGTTCCTTAACAGCAGCCCAGCTTGGGGCTGAAGAGGGTTTAGGGCTGGTTTTATTCTTGATGTAGTCGTTTCCATTAACAGGGGCCTCGATATATGGCCCAAGGTATTATAATCCTTAGTCTGGGGTCACCTTTTGGGCTGGGCTGGAGCATCAGTGTTCTTTGCGGATTCATGAGTTTCTCCGGATTTTTGGGTAGCTTCTTAAGGGTTCTCCTTATGGGGATCCTATGATTCCGCCCTTTAGAGGTTGGACCCCCTACACTTTGAGACACGGGCACATGGCCGAGGGATGACTGCAACCCTGAACCCTGAAACCTTCAAACCCTAAAACCTTAAAACCCTAAACTTTACCCATCGGATTGCAAGATCCTCACCTTCATTTTGGCGGGCTTCTAGAATATTGGGGTTCCCTTACATTTTTTGGGGGTGTGGGGGGATTCCTAGTGGGGGTCCTTCTGATAAGGATTCTGGTGTCTTGGGGTTTATATTAGGGTCCTTCTGGTTTCCGAAAATTAGGGGCACTATCTTGGGAATCCTCCTGTCCTAGAAGGGAAATGGCAGTTTTGAGTCTAGAATGGGGTCACCCTGCTGAGTGCAACTACCCATTTTCGAAAGCCGACATTCAAGACTACCTTGTTTTTCGTGTGCGTAGGAGACCACTCACCTCTTTGGGATACACCGAACCCCCTACCTGCGGAGAAAGTACACTTTCGTCTAAGCACTGCACCACTTCAAAATCATCTTACTCTGTGACTTAGGTCGATGCTACTTCTTAAAGGTTTTGGGATTGGGGGGTTTATAGTAGACTTTTCGCCAAGGATCCGCTCAGTGATCCCCCATGCCATCCGTCTCCATTTGTTGGATTGTGGTACTTTGGGGTGTATAAGGTACTCTAACGTCTTTGGAAATGCAGATATGCCTTGAGGGTTTACAGCTTTCGGCTTTCAAAGAAGGGTTTACAGGTTTATAGTGTTTGATGGCTGTGGTGCTAAAAAACTTGATACGAATCGCTAGTTCGGTACCTCCAAATGCTGAGCAACGCAGATGCAATCCATACTGAAAGCATAGTTTGCGAAAATACATTCAGCCAACATGGTGTGTGTCTGTGTGATGAGAAGCCTTTGGCAACTATTCTGAACCCAAGCCCCCGATTCTAGAGCCCAAGCCCTTCGACAAGCTTCCTGTACACACTGGCATACGGGCTCCGGCGAAGGCACCACGATCCGACCGCGTGGTCTGGGGCCTTTTCCTGAAGGACTGCTAGAGTATATGGGTGGTGTGAAGGTTTTGAAGGTTCTGGCGTCTGGGGGGTTGAGCGGAGTAAAGGTAAAGGTCGAGGGTTTTAACGCTTGGGGGCTAGGGGTTCAGGGTAAAGGTTTGGGACTTTGGGGCTGAGGCTTCAGGGCTTTAGTTGTGTGGCTGGTGACGGCCTCACTCTTGAAAACACTCCATGCCATGATCGTGGTGATGACGCTGAAGATGATGACGTCCATTGTGGCCCTGATGAGAGTTTCTGTGATAATCACTGCTGCTTCCTAGACTTGATCTCTATTACCTTGAACCAAAAGGATCCTTCTTACAGCTCTCTTTTAGGAGGACCCTGTGGTATAGAAGGAATAATGGGACTGTAACATAATCCATGTATCCCTTGTAGTCACTATTACAGGGTGGGGGGTCCACCTTACTAAGCCTTGACAACTCGAAGGCTCATCCCGTATCCCTCAAGCTCTCTCAAAAGGACCCCGCTAGGATTCAGTTTTGTGCACCTGTTGCAACCATGCTCAACCGTGCTATGGGGCTTAAGGTTAAGATCAGACATCGCCAGCTGTCGCCATTTCTTAAAGCTGCCGCCCAGCTACGATCGAAATTCATCTCCAGATGAGCGGCGTCCTCCAATCAACAGAAGCTAAGCCATCGTAAGTGAAAGATTAGGCTCTTTCCCACGGGTTCCAGGCAAAGCCCGGAAACACTCCAAACTCGACTCAATGGGTCGTAAGAGCACAAAAAGTCCACCGAGTGGAGGCCAAAGATAAGATGTCACAATAATGACGTCCACCCAAAACAAACCTGCTTTGCTCACACACACAATCAAGAAGGCATCGCAATACTGTATACTCTAGGACGGCTAGCCAGGCAAACCCGGGTACTAGAGCCAAACAATTCTAAATCTTCATCCAACACCCAGCTAAACTGCTGAGCCCCAAGCGGCCCAAACAACACGCATCCAAAACAAACCCTGAACCTGCCCTAATCTCCACCCCCAAAAACATAAAGCCAAATCCACATGCAAAGCACCCATGATCTCTTCCCCCCATGCCAAACAGCTGCAGCAGTCCTCTGAAGGAGACATAAATAGGTCCGAGGCGATGAAGTATCCTGAGCTTCTCGGAACTGAATCACTTCCCCAGCGTTTGAAGCGCTTCTTTCCCACCAAATGTATGTAGACATGTAAGTGGACGGTACATCGCTTGTTAGGGACTTAGGTGGCAAAATTGGAGTGGAAGCGGCTTATTTGTGGTTATCTATTGAGGCTCAGGGCCTAAGTTCGGAATGCTAGAATGGGAGTAGTTACGTGGTAAATCGGAGACCCCAACATGCCATTATGCTCCTGAAAATAGGTCCCCCATTTTAGGAAACCCAAATCCCTATAAACCACCAATAAATCCAGTTTCCATCTAATTTCCCTTCCCTTTCCATTTAATGTTCACTATTGTGACACTTGTCGATTAAGAGTCACTATAAGCATGTGGCTGCAGAGGTCTAAGATGTGCCATACATACTGCAAGCGTCATGTCGTCGGTCCTGAGGCATCAGAGCGGCCTACCAGGTCGGCATATTACCAAACACCAGTCTTACTTACTGGTCCTTAGTAGGGAAAAGGGAGCATCATCCCTATATACTCCCTATAAACCGTATTCCTTCATTCCTACTAAGACCCAGTCAGGTTAGCAATAATGATAAATTTAATGAAATTTTATAAAGGACTACTGGATACCACCTGGTCGAAGCTTGGCCTACTAAGGGTAGCTACTTCCAGCACTCAGGGATTCAGAACATCAGGAAAAGAGGGAGGATCTGGAAAGTAGAATCTCCCCCCCGGGGCCCAGTTTAGTAAAGCCTAAACCCACCTTCTGGATCCTGTCAAAGGTGTGGGTAGGTGGTAGTCAAGTTCACGGTCTGCCTCTGCCCCCTGAGCTACCTCAAGAAAGCTTGCTTGCGAGCTGCCAAGACCCTGATAAGGCTGCTTGCTGACACAAGCAGGTATAGTGCGCTATATAACTGGAACAGGGTGTAGGGACTAGGATTTTGGGACCAAGGGAGAACCGAATGCTCTTTTTCCTTCCAAGACTTGCTCCTAAACCCTAATCCCTAAATCCTAACCCCTAAACCCTAAACCTTGAACCCTAATCCCTAAACCCTAATCCTAAACCCTGAACCCTAACCCCCAAACCCTGAACCCTAACCCCCCTAAACCCTAAAAATCCCAAACCTTTCCATGCCCCAGCTTCGGCAGGCTCTGTCCATCCACTGCCTTCTCGGGCCACCCTGGTCCTTCAAACAGGCGTGTCAAATAATAGCCCTAAACCCATAATAATAGCCCAACAGGCCATTATTCTACACACCTTTGGGGTCCAGGTAGGGGTAACTTTCAACGTTTGGGCCGGAAGTCCTTGCCTACTACGAAAAACCTACCCCTGAAGGTTCATGAGTTTTTCAAGTGGGGTTGTAATCCCTGTATGCCCTGTATATAAATTAGCTATAACGAGAATTATCATACTTCACTCGCTCCACCTCGCAGTCCAGACTTAGGACTTAGGCTTGAGGATCTCGGCCACCAAAAAGAACTACTGTGGAGTCAGTGGGGAGGTTTTTTGGCGGTGTGGGCTCGAACTTCAGGAAATCCAACGCTGCTAATTTTTACGATTCAATATGCAGGGCAGTAATATAGGTGCCGAACCCAGAACCCCAGTCCCTAAGCCGATAACCCCCAAACCCTAATCCCGATAAGCCCTCGCTGCTCCAAACTCTCATTGATCCTGAAACCCCAAACCCAAGAAATCATAATCCCTCAACCGTCAGACCCTCACCCTTCATTAAATCCCCAAACCCCCTTAAGAACCGATTATCCTTTTGTACTACTCCTGGTCCTCGTTTGTTTATCCTCAATAAGACCTACAGCCCCCTCAAGGACCCAACTTCTCATCAAGCTCGTTCGTCGCACCTCGCCCTCCTCTACCATCTCGTTGCCTCATCTTTTCAGAGGTTTCGGGGTTTAGGGTTTAGTGGCCTAGGGTTTAGGGTGGTTGTTTCAGATTTTAGGTTTTGGATGATTTCATCATACGATAACAGACCACAAGAGGTAATAGGCTTTATAATAGACCCTCAATAATGCCCGCCCCCCCCCAAAAAATCAGGGAAGTCCATATAGCCCTCTTACAAAGCACAGGTGTTTGTGGCTTCCATGTTTTTTTGGGGGATGTTTTTTTTGGCTACAGTACAACTCGTGCATTGCAACGCCTGCAAGGCAAATGTGTCTGCGGCTTAGGGTTTCATTTTTTGGGGGGATAAGATGTGAGAGATTTCTTCCCTGCTCTATCTTAGCTCAGCTTTCCAGGGCTGTGAGGGTTCAGGGTTCAGGGGCTTCAAATGTTGCCCGCTGCGCCCCAAGCTTGAAATGCGACGTGTACTACCCCACAACCATCTCTATACTTGCGTCTGGTGAGGAAGGAATCTTTGTTGTACTCCCTATATAATCCCCAATCATGTATTTCCAGTCCTTCATTCCTTGCCAGTTAGAGGGAAGCATCCCGCTTTTTAGATTATTTATCATGGGGAAGATTCACCCTGCCAGGGCTTTCTAGTCAACTGCCATTTCAACTGAACATTACCCGCGAAAGATGCTAGGATCCTCCTGGGTATGTCCCTTTATGCGGCTCGAATATAATCAGCCGGACTGAGACTGCCAGAATCTTCATGAAGAGATGCCGGTGGCGTCGGAGTACCCGGCCCGGAATTCGATCTCCAAAGGGACATCGATGCGTGCTTGGGCGTCCTGGCAGGTGCTCGTATCCAGGGAGCATTGGGCTTGCAGGAAGCAGGGATGGTGATGTGACTGATTGCTACTGACCATCTTCGTACTTCAACCACAATGATAAAGATCAATGATCTTCAAAAACAGAACGAAAGAAAACCGTTGTCCACACCCCACACCCGAAGCACCAATCTAGACCCAGCACTCAAACTAACGTGGAACAGCAAAAGAAGCCTTACAAAGACTACTGCCCTTCAAACAGGGAAGCAGTATGGGTTTCGATGGTGCTTAATGGCTTAATGTAACACTCGAAGCAAGAGCCTGCAGATTCAGCGTGGAGCATACGCCGTCCAGGACATTGTCCCGGGGAACCACAATGCGAATAGGCTCGCCTGAGCCCTGCAGAGGGTTTGTGACCAGGAACCCCAAACCCTAAACCCTAAACCCTTAAACCCCTAAACCCCTAAACCCTAAACCCTAAACCCTAGGCGTATCAACAAAACAGTCTGGGATTTAATGATTCGGGTCGAGTAAGAGCGATGAGAGCAATGAGTCCTATAAGTTAAAGGGACTCTACTGGGAA